AATATTCATAGTAGTGTTACTCATAACAGCCAAAGTAGACTGAAAGAAGAAACTGGGAATTATGAAAAGAAAGAACATTCATAAATTCTTTATGAGGAAGTTTCATCTAAAACTCATCTCTGCTCAAAAGTAAATTAGAATTCTTTTTAGTTAAGTCACACTTGTCCTTGTAAATGCCAAACATAGGTCTAGCTTTAAAGTGTAGTTTATATAAACTATATTCTATTCTTGTGTAAACCAGATTCATTAATTAGTAATCCGAATATTGTGCAGTCCACTCATTTAAAGTGTATTCTGTTCACTGATTTTTAGTGTATTCAGTTTCTAACCTTCACCAACTATCTAATTTTAGATAATTTTAGTACCTTCAAAAGAAAACTCACCCTGCTTGGCACTGGCTCTCCACCTCAGTCCTCAACCCTAGACAAGCACTAATCTACTTTCAGTTTCTATTTGCCTATTCCAGACAAATAAATGGAATTGCACAGTATATAGCCCTTTCTAACTGACTTCTTTCACTTAGCATAATGTTTTTAAGGTTTATCCATGTTGTAGCATGTATTGGCAATTCATTTCTTTTTACTGTTCAGTATTCCGTTATATGGGAATATCATATCTATGCATTCAAATGTCCAGTTAATGAACACTGTGGAGGTTCTACTTTTGGCTGTTATGAGTAGTGCTGCTATGAACATTTGGGTACAAGTTTTTCATCATATTTATGGATTCAAATGTCCAGTTAATGGACATTTTGGTGGTTCTGCTTTTGGCTGTTATGAATAGTGTTGCTATGAACATTTGGGTACAAGTTTTTGCATGGATGTGTGTTTTCAGTTCTCTTGGGTCTATATCTAGGAGTAGAAAACTGCTAGATCATATAGTAATTTTGTTTTTTTCCTTTTGAAGCTATTCCAAACTGTTTTCCAGAGTGCCACACCATTTACACTCCCATCAGCAGTGCCTGAGTCTCACTTCTCCACATCCTTTATCTGTCTTTGCAATGACAGTCAACCTAGTGAGTATAAAGTGATATATAGTTGTAGTTTGTTTGCATTTCCAATATGGATAATGACATTTGGCACATTTTTGTACATGTATTAATCATTTTTATGTCTTTCTCAGAGAAATGTCCTCCTAGAGGTTTGGCTATTTTTAAGTTTTATTTTTACTTTTCATATTTTGCTCTTAGTATTTTCTAGATACAAGTCCCTAGTTCGATATGTGATTTGCAGTATTTTTATCCTATTTTATATTATTTAATGCATTTTTAAAGTATTGGAATCTCAAAGGACAATTACCTTGAGCTCAGACTCTATTTTGGAGAAACATGAAGAATCTTTCTTTCTTCCTGAAATATCTATGACATGGCGGGATTGTAAAACATATGAAATGGATGGTTCAGGTTCAGCTGTCTTCTGAAAAGGGATTTGGTACCAATGAGAAAATACAGTTTCTTACATTATAAAAAGGAAAAAAATAATCAAATCCATGTGATTGAAATTACCCATAGTGTATCATAAACAGATATTTATGCAACACAATTATGTGTTGAGATTGAATAAAAACAGTTGAGGAATTGCTCTTCTCAATAGGTTTGAAAGTCATGGTGACAACATAAAGAGGTTTTTTAAAGCTCTACTTTAAAGCTCTACTTGCTATAAGATTTTTTTAAAAAATCATTTAGAAAATTTTAGTGGCTTCCTTGTATGTATTTGCAAATATTGAACATCAAGTTCAATAATTTTTACATGCATGTTGGAAACAAAAATGTATGTTTGTATTTATATGTATTTATAGTCATGTGTTAGCAGTGAGGATATGTTCTGAGAACTGCGTTAGAATTTTTTGTCATTGTGCAAGCATCATAGAGTGTACTTTCACAAACTAAAATGGTTACCATGTCCCTTGGCAATAGAATCTTCTGAGACACTATAGTACGTGTGATCTGCCACGGATTAAAACATTGTGATGTGGCATATGACTGCATATATATTTTAAAGATCTGTATTTTAGTAAAATTAATGTGTTAATGTTTTAAGTGGTCTCTTCAGTTAAGCCTTCAACAGAGGTTGATTAGCTCACTGAAAAAAATAATCATTGCACCATCTATGTTCCAAGTTCTGGGCTAAGAGCTAGAAGAATGATGGTGAGTAAAACATACCATGGAGGTACGTCACGGAAATTGTAGATAAAGTAAAAATAAAAATAATGTGGAATTACCCATTTTTAAAAAATTGCTATGAAGGAAAAGAAAGTGCTGAGAAGAATAGGAATGCCTATTTTATGTGGGGATGGAGTCAAAGAAGTTCTCTAAGATGTAAAGAGGATTAGATGGAGCCCTCCAGAGTTGGGGGGAGAACATTGCAGATAGAGGGAACCCATGACAAGGGTCAAGGTCCCAGGTCAGGAAGCCTTTGATGGGTTTTAAGAAAGGCAGGAGGGCCAGGGGGACAAAAAGAGTGCAAAAAAAGGAAGGTAATTATACTGGCAAGGAAGGAAGTGGCTGGCTAACATAGGACCTCAAAGGCCACATTAAGGAGTTTGAATTTTATTCAGAAAGTAGTTGAATAATTTTGAGGCTTTTAGTAGAGGGAATGACATGATTTGATGTAGACTTTAGAAAGGTCATATAGGTTACTGCACAAAGATTGATGTGTGCAAATGAAGTAGAAGTAGAACCAAAATGATAACGTAAAAGGCACTTACAGTTCCTAGACTAACAGGGTGGTAGATTGGACTAAAATGGCAAAAAAGTTGGCAAGGTAAATACATTCGGAATTATTTTGGAGAAATAGTGAAATAGCTATATGACTACAAATTAACGTCCCTTTACCAGCATTTCCTTAGTAATAAAATGATCTAGCAATAGGATTATCATTAAATTGAATTATTTATTAAATTATTGAATTATTATTAAAATAGGATGTTAATAGTGCTGTGCATGCATATGAGTGCCTAGCATATAATGGTTCTTTAACTGAGTATGTTTTCATGTTTTTCTAATATAAATAGGTGTTAGTACAGTGGACCCTTGACTTACAAACTCAATTCTTTTTTGAGGACTGGTTATAACTCAAGTTGGTCAACTGAAGGCTCAGGCTCCTCTATACAGCCTTCAAAGTCTCATTTAGACAGGCAAATCGCAGTGTCCTTAGAGAGTCATTGGTCCAGAATTTCCCAATTAACCCCACACAAGAAAGGATGCTGGAATGTTCCTTCTAGAACTCTTTAAGGGTTAAATCTGTATCTAAGACCATCTGGAAGCAAAGGCAGCTGGCATTTGGGTCATAACTCAAGACTTCTGTTGTAAGTTGAAACTAAAATTCCTGTCGTAACCCAAGTTATTTGTATGTCAGGCCAGTCATAACTTGAGGGTCCACTGTAGCAGTTTGTGTGGGGAAGTGAAATGTCAAATACATTTGCCAAGGGCTGGGGATTTAGCTCAGTAATGCTACTGCCTGCCTCATAACCACAAGGTCCTGAGTTCGATCCCAGATACCAAAAAATAAAAAGACATTTGCCAAGATTCTGGCTTGAATACCTGGTGATTGGTGGTGCTAATTCCTAAGAGAATGAAACTGGGAGAAGAAGGGTTTGAAGGAAAAGTCCAGAAACTGATTTTGGGTGTGTTAGCCTGAGATGTGTAGGAGATATCCAAGTAGAGATGTCAGGAAGCTACCATCTGATGCTCAGTGTAGCGCCTAAGCCAGAGACAGAACTTGTATTCAATATTGTACTAAAATATAATGTATACATTTTCAAAAACACTCAGCACTTGGGAATAATTCAGCTTTGTCCTGCTGTGGTCGGTGGGATAATAATTTGATAAGCCAGGTTTTCCTGGGACAAGGGCACATATCGTGCAAGCAGTCAAGACGTTACAAAGAGACCATCTTTGAAACTATACTCCTCCATTTACTACTTGGGGGCCTGCAAGAATTTACAAGTGCTAGTGAGAGAATCCTTGGGTTAGGAAGGAGGAATCATGGACAGCTCCCGAGTTCCTGCTTGAGTGCCAGGTGGTTTGTGGTGCTAGTTCCTGAGGAACTAGAAACTAGAGCAGAAAGAATCATGCTTCTCACAGCTTGAGCTGGGGAAATTAGTAGATCTTCCTCATAGATGAAAACCAGAAAGAATTTATATAAAATTACCAGCACAGTGCTTGACACACAGTACATGCTCAGTATTTTTTTTTCTTCCCTGTGTGACTCTGGGATTTTCTCCCCTTCCTTCCTCAGCTGTAAGCATCTCCATCACCACATCTAGGTCTGCTTCCATTTCTAGATGACAATGCAAGGTGGTAATAGTGCAGGGACAGGTCAGAGTCAGGAATGTGGTGAAGGGTGTAAGGACACTGCCTTAGGGACAAAATTCAAGAGTGCTGAACCCCTGGAGATTTAGCTAAGTGGTGCTGCTGCCTGCCTTGCAAGTGCAAGGTCCTGAGTTCAGTCCAAAAGAGTGCTATACAAGTAATCAGGAAAAGGAGTTTAATGCACAGTTTTTAAAAATTAATCCAAAAAACATTTACAAATTAAATACTAATTTTAAAGAAAGATAGAATCAGAATTATTGATTTCTCCTCTTGCCTCAAGCTCTGTCACTAGTTAGGTAGTGGGACAAGGTGAAGGCAAAATATAAATCTTCTTCCTCAGCCCCTAAGACTTTCTCATTTCTTTCTCTCATACTGGCTCTCATCCTCAGACAAGCAGTCTACACACCTCTAAATGCTAAAGATGCCAAACTAACACCCACAATTCTGGGTGCCCTTGAGCTTGAGGCTTGTGGCCCCAGCCATCCCAGCCCCCTCTTCTATCAGTTGCAACATGGGAATTGAAGCAAGGTTTTCTGGTCCACTCCACCTTGGTAAACTCAGACCTTGTGACCCCTGGAACTATTGCATAAACACTAAATGAAATAACCGATGCTCTATGAAAGGCTGGAGTTTAAAGGTCAGCTTTGTGCTTATCAAATGTAAGTCTGATTTACTCTCCAAATGACTCTCAGAGAGGTCTGTGCTTGTAATACGAACTGAAAAGATGAGTTCTTCCATTTACAGTGGGGAGCTATTTGTTTTGCGAGGAATTGTCATTGCCAATAAGAACAGAGAGTCAGGAGCAGGCGGAAGGTGAATGCAGGTCCTTGGAACCAGGAATGCTTCCTTCTGGCTTTGACTAGAAAGCTAAAGGTATCTGTGGTGGCTTGTGGCTTGTAGCTTGTGGCTCTTTCCTGTGAAAACCAGAAAATTCCTAGTAGGGACAGTTTGGTAACTTAAACATTGTCAGCAGATGGATAATGAACAATTAAAGGACAGATTTATCATAGTTCCTATCTAAAGTTCCTTCATAAAGAAATCATGTGGAATTTTGAGTGTGTGTATCGCTTTTTCTATAACAGTATCTGGATGTAGAAAGCCTAGTTTTAAAGAGATTATATTTCTTGAGTGTTATTTCAATTAAAAGCAGACTTTACTCTGATCTTTAGAACATTTTGCTGTAAATATGATAGACTGTCATAATGTATGTTTATGAATGCTTTTGGATGAAATAGTAAATAAAGTGAAAGAATTGCTGGACTAGACTAAAGCTTCTGTGTCCACTGACTACATGTCAAGGGCACTTTAATATTGCAATATTTTATTTGGTGACTTGCATACCAGTTGACTGTGTACACCTTCTTCTCTCAAAAAAAGCTAAATCTGATATGGGTCGGTCAGTGAGTTCTTTTTTCTCAGTTTCATTTATCTACACTTTATAATGCCTGGTTTAATTTGTACAGAAGGATGAAGTTCATTATTATGCAACTCAGAACCCCATCTTTAAGTTTTTAAGAAAGTGATTTGAAGAGTTATCCTTCATTGAGACCAAAAGTTCTTGTGGATATATCAGATGGTGCATTTTAAGATTAAAAGTGGTGAATGCTTCCGAAATAATGTACACTGTGTTCATAAATGCACAAGGCAGAAGAAAATATTATTTCTCATTATGAGTTGTCTTTCAAAGTTTTAAACTCTGAGTTGTTTTTCAGACGTTGAGACTCATGACTAAAAGTTCAGAGTGAATAACTATCGCAACCAACCGGCTTTTGTGAAGGTGGCCAAAGTGAAAAGATGGGTCTGTTTTTATGTATACTGTCCTGTTATCCATTCCTCTTTTTGAGTATTTAGTCCTTAATTTCCCAGAATTGAAACAAAGAGTTTTTAGACTATGAGTAAATAGTACATGGTGCCCAAGCTATAGTTGTACAGTACTCTGGACGTTTCTTTTCTTTCTTAGGACTTAAGCAAGTTTTAAATTGCATAAAATAAAACCATTTAAGTTGGGATACTTTGTTCAAAGGCCTCTGATTTGCGTTTTTTCCCCATCTCCCTCCGTTTCCTTTCTATTCTGGATGGGTAGGTTGCCTTCTCCCTTCTCCTCTCCCTCTCCCTCCTCCTCCTTTCCTTTCTTTCCTTATTCATTCTTATGATGTTCATTTGAGTGCTTAGATGTTAGATTGTCTTATTTCTACCTCTGTGATTATTTTTAAATCAAAGCAGTTAAGTCCCAGTAAGAGCTTAAAAGCTACATTAATATCTTTTTTTAGCTTCCTATTATTCATCCAAACTTAATCTTCTTTCCTCCCATTATTCCAAGTTATTACTAAAACTAGCATTTGTGCAAAAATTTTTTATCAGTATATTACCTCCTTTCAGTTAAGATAGTCTCACTTATAGAGCAGTTAGCTAAAAGATAAGGCTAATACTCTTTAGATTAAGTTCCCTAGTTTGAAGAATCTTCACTCATCTCTTTAAAATATATGCATCCAGTTATGGAATTTGTAGACAAGCATTATGCAGAAAACCATTAATCTGACCTTCAGTTTTCAGGAAAGAAAGTAAAAAATTCCACTATGAAGTACAGCTATTGGGCTAAATATTGTTCTCTTCATAAGCAGGAAGAACAACTTAGCTTCTTACCCTGCTGAGCCGAAATATAGTCCCGGTGTTTCTTCTCTGGCGGTGTTCTACATCGTGGGTCACTTAGTCCTGCTAATTTCCAATCAAAAAGCCCATTTCTATCGATCAGCAGTCAGCGCTTTCTGGGGATGGTCAATGTGTCAGTGTTATGACACGTTGCATTTTAATGTGAAAGCGGCCTGCTCTGATTTCAGAAATGGGTCATGCATATGTGAAACCATCAAAATAGTTGAGAAGAGATATAAATAAGGAAATACATTATACAATATAGTGTTCACCATTTCTGTACTGAAAACTATGCCTGTAAGTAGCTTTGTAAGCATCTTTTCTAAAAAGCCTCTGGTTCCCCTTTGTCCTTTCGTTTTCCTTGACCAGCTTTCCAACCACCCCTTTGTTCCCCTCTGAAGGGCTGCGTGGCTTCCCTTCATTTCCTTCTGTCAAATTTAGAATTCTGCCTTTGCCTTCAGATTCAAGCCATTCCAGTTTTGGTGTCTTTCTGTCTTACCTTTGTCCTTGACCTTTTTTTGCAGCTTTGTTTGCCCTTCTCTAAATTCACACCTTGTTGGCCTTTGTGTGGGCTCTTCTGTCATTTATTTATTTATTTATTGGTTTTTTTGAGACAGGGTCTCACTATGTAGTGAGACAGACCTGGAACTCACTATGTAGCCCAGGCTGGTCTCGAACTCACAGCGATCCTCCTGCCTCAGCCTCCCAAGTGCTGGGATTACAGGCGTGTGCCACCACGCCAGCCTGTCATTTTTTTCTTTTTATTGAGTTTATTGGTACAATCTAGGTATATAATACAATTACATTCATCATTGGGATTCTGTACATTTACATAATAGGTCTTGATTCTCATTTTTCCCCCTTGTCCCTGCCCTCCCTTCACCCCCTCCTCCCCTCCCCATTTACAAACACTTTATTTCCATTTTTTCAGTTTCTCATATTTTTTTCCTCTCCCTTATTACCTTTCCCCCACCCTTCCCACTTTCCCTACACCTTTAGCCCTTTACTTCCTATTTCACATTATTAATTATCTCATTAGGATCCTGTGAGCAAAATGGAAGTCGTGATTCGAGACTCTAGAGCAGAAACTGACAAAAAAAATAGATGAGCTCAGGACCATGATAGAAGCCATGAAGGCCCAGCATAAGAAAGAAATGGAAACAATGAATGCCCAACATAGGAAAGAAATGGAATCCATAAAACAGATTCAAACAGATATCCAGGAGATTAAACACTCCATTGAAAGTGTATGCAACAGAATAAAAGAATGCGAAGATAGGCTCTCAGATATAGAAGATAATAAGATTGCAGTCAGTGACCAGGAAAAGAGAGGTCTCTTAAAAACAGTAAGAGATCATGAGAAATCGATCCAACAACTCCTAGATGATGCAAAGAAGAATAACATAAGACTGATAGGAATACATGAAGTAGCAGAAGAAAATACAAATGACTTTAAAAAGCTGTTCGCAGAATTAATGACAGAAAACTTCCCAAACAGAGGGGAAGAATTTGACATTAAGATAACTGAGGCATATAGGACCCCAACTAGCTGTCATTTGTTTTTAATTGGTGGCACATTGTTCTACGTTGTAATCTGCCGGTTTGTCTTCTCTTACTTTTCCAAGGCCAACTGCACATCTTTTCTTCTTTGAAAGGTTCTTCCTATGTTCCAGCATTAGCTTTTATATCCAGAGCTTGCTAACTCTTGACCATTTTAATATACATTTAGTCAAATGATTTAAGTCTTGTAAATATTTAAAGCTTAAAGCTTTAATTTTTATACATTGGTAAGTTCATCACAGATGCCTAATGGGGTATTTGTCAGTTCAGAAAACAAACTTGTGGGTTATAGCTCTGGCAAGGTATTCAAGCCTATTTTGATATAGACTCATATTTTAAGGCTGCTTCTCCATCAATGGAACAAACAAGTACAAGGCTCACGTATTTGTGTTTTAGTTTTCCTTCTTGGTGCAGTTGTTTCTACTTATATAGTTATCCAGAGTGATCCCTAATATTACCAGCATTGTAAATTTCTTCCTGATTAACCTCTTTGTGACTGTCTCAGAGTTAAATAACTTTTTCTAATGGAATCTTTCACAAAAATTTTTGGATAGCATTTTGACCTTGATTTGTGTTTTTGTGCAATTGTATTGATTCTTTCATATGTGTGACTTTTTTGTCATTACTAGGTTATTCCCCTGTCTTTGGCAATAACTCATCAGTGAAAATAAAGAGAATTTGAGGAAGTCTCACCAAGTTTCTGCTTAGCAAACATGCTGCAGGTTTCAAAGTAAGAGAATAGGAGTCACCCAGACCATTTCATTCGGTAAACATTTATGAGTTATCTTCCCAAGCTTGACAACAAATACTCTTTCCTTGGAAACTGTGTACATCTTATTGGGCAGCAAGAACAACTACTTCTGTCTTTGTAGTTCAAGCTTCTGTGATGCCATTTGGGTGACCGTTGAATGATGAATTCCTTTCCACATATTTACAGAGCACTGACACTTGACACATGTCAAGCACATAAACGGCCAGACTCTCACACTCTCTTTGATTTTCATTGGTAATTCATCATCCTATTTCTCCCTGGACTCAGTCCTTAGGGTTCTGGTATATAGTACTTGAAATTTCCATAAAGTGTGACCACGTTCATTCATTGTAAAGAAAATGGTCATAGAGTCATTCATCATACACAGGAGGAGTGGAACTGAAATAGAAATAGAGATGTTCCTGTTTCATAATAGTTATGAAACTGAAAACGCACAGCTGTCAATTGAACTTAGAATTAATATATTAACAGAACATGATTTTTAAAAGATGTCATTGTCTCTGGAACCAAACCCTCTTATTACTGCAAAGAGGGGCATGGGATGTGAAAGGTCTCTCTGGGTTTACTTATAGGTTCATTTAGACTCATTTCGGTTGTTGAGATCATTTTAAGTTCAAGAGTTGATTTTTTAATAGATAAACTTAGTTAACTGTTACAAAATAGTAGATTATATAGAATATTCAGCAGTACTTTAAAAGATTTGATAGCATTTTCTCGTGGCAATATATTATAATTGATAACATTCATTAAATGATTCACAATTTTTCCCTAATTGAATCTTTTAAATAAAGGCATAGGTCTTTGAAATTTGATTGGTTTGAGTTGAAAAGTAATTAGAAAGAGGACACTTTGCTTACTAATTTTATGATCAAAATATATGTTGCTGAAAATT